CTCTTTGTGGCAGCCTCTCAAGTACTGGAATACTGCTGTCCTGTCAATCCTAATCCTTTTCTGTAGGATCAGCCAAACCCAAATCTTGCAACTGTTCTTCATATGTTTCAATCTTCAGGCTTTTAATCATCTTAGCTGCTCTTCTTTCCACTTTCTCCAAAGTCTAAACAACTTTTTTGTAATGTGATGACTAAAACTGGATGCAGAATTCCAGGTGTGGTCTTACTAAGGTTTTATAAAACGGTACTAATACTCCAGGTGATTTTGATTCTATGCGTTCGTACAATCAAGGATTATATTAGCTTTTTTGGCTGCCGCCTCACACACGGGACTCATGTTTACTTACTCATCCATTCGGATGGTCCCTCTCACAGTTAGTTTTTGAGCCAAGTGTCAACTCGCAAAGCATCCCTGGCCTGCTTTCAAGTTGCCATAGATAAGGGGGATGGAAAACGAACACTGCAGCTGCGGCAAGGCAGCATGTCAGTCAAAACAAAAGCACATTCCAGACATATCTGTCAAGGCCGTCCCTGAAGTTACCCATAGTGGCCAGAGTGGAGTAATCTCTACAACCCACAAAATTTCTTCATTGAGAATCTGGCTGATGACACACTTTGAGGGGGAGGGGGGAACCAGAGCTGGAACATAAATTACTTGGGATCAGATTTGGCTTCACTTGGAACATGCCGACATGAAGCTCCTAATAAAGAACTGGATTTCTTTTGAAACTTGGCTCGAGGCTCATGATTTAATTAGGGCATCAGTTGGAACCTTGACAGCAGTTTTTATGTAATGTTTTTCCTGCCCAGGTGTAAAATCTTACTCTTCTCCACATTAAGTTTCATTTTGTTGGATTAAACCTTGTCTCACTTGGATCAGAAAGGCACAATATGCATACAAATCTATAGACATGGTGGGTGTCAGGATTCCAGCGATTGCTGAAATTAAATCATGAGCCTTGAGCCAAACTTTGAAAAACGTCAAAGAATTCATTAGGAGCAACATATGGGCATGACCTGTATGTAGCTGTCACCCTTGACCCTGGTTTCCCCCCCATCCCTCAGGATGTATCATAATTCATATTCTCCAGCAAAACACATCCATAGCCAAGAGTCATCAATCATGTTCTCCAATTAGAGATTTGCGTGGCAGAAACTCGTGGCTTCTTTGCAAGATATGAATGGAATGCACTTTCCATTGCAAAATGCTACACAGCTCCTTCAAACTCCTTCCCCCTCCCCACTTCTGTTGGCAACTATAAAACAGGCATAGAAATGTTTTGAGTTGACAGTAGGTCAGCAGTTAGAATGCAGTATTACAGGCTAATTGCCCACAGAGTTCGATCCTCACTGTCTCGTGGTTAATTCAGTCATTCATCCTTTTGAGGTTGCTAAAAAGAGGACTCAGATTGCTGGGGACCATATGCTGACTTTGTAAACTGCTCAGAGAATGTGGTAAAACATTGTGGAGTGGTATATAAGTCTAAGTAGAATTGCTATTGCTATATAGTTTCTCCCGAGCATAGATCCTTTTATGAGAAGATAGATGACCATTCTGAGCAAAACTCTTTCCACATCCCATGCATTTATATGGTTTCTCCCGTGTGGCTTCTTTTATGGGAAATAAGATTACATTTACGAGCAAAGGTCTTTCCACCTTGTGTGCATTTAAATAGCTTCTCTCCTGAGTGGATCTTTTCATGTCTTCTAAGTCCACAAGTACGAGCAAAGGTCTTTCCACATTGTGTGCATTTAAATGACTTCTCTCCTGAGTGGATCTTTTCATGTCTTCTAAGTCCACTACTACGAGCAAAGGTCTTTCCACACTGTGTGCATTTAAATGGCTTCTCTCCTGAGTGGATCTTTTCATGTCTTCTAAGTCGACTACTACGAGCAAAGGTCTTTCCACATTGTGTGCATTTAAATGGCTTCTCTCCTGAGTGGATCTTTTCATGTCCCCTAAGTCTACTACTTTGAGCAAAGGTCTTTCCACACTCCATGCATTTAAATGGCTTCTCTCCTGAGTGGATCTTTTCATGTCTTCTAAGTCCACTACTACGAGAAAAGGTCTTTCCACACTCCATGCATTTATATGGTTTCTCTCCTGAGTGGATCCTATTATGGACAGTAAGTGTACTACTATGAGTAAAACTCTTTCCACATTCCATGCATTTATATGGTTTCTCCCCTGTGTGGCTTCTTTTATGGGAAATAAGACCACATGTATGAGCAAAGGTCTTTCCACATTGTGTGCATTTAAATGGCTTCTCTCCTGAGTGGATCTTTTTATGTCTTCTAAATCCACTACTATGAGCAAAGGTCTTTCCACACTCCATGCATTTATATGGTTTCTCTCCTGAGTGGATCCTATTATGGGCACTAAGTCCATTGCCATGAGTAAATGTCTTTCCACATTCTATGCATTTATGCGGCTTCTCCCCTGTGTGGATCCTTTCATGAGAAGTAAGTGTACAACTATGAGCAAAACTCTTTCCACACTCCATGCATTTATATGGCTTCTCCCCTGTGTGGATCCTCTTATGGGAAATAAGATAACCTCTTCGAGGAAAGGACTTTCCACACTCCATGCATTTATATGGCTTCTTCCCTTTGTGGTTTCTTTTATGGGAAATAAGATGACATCTATGAGCAAAGGTCTTTCCACATTCCATGCATTTAAATGACTTCTTTCCTGAGTGGATCTTTTTATGGTTTCTAAGACCACTGCACTGAGTAAATGTCTTTCCACACTCCATACATTTATATGGTTTCTCCGCAGTGTGGATCCTCTTATGGGAAATAAGATTACATCTATGAGCAAAGGTCTTTCCACATTCCATGCATTTAAATGGCCTCTCTACTGAGTGGATATTTTTTTGGATTCTAAGTCCACTGCCACAAGTAAACGTCTTTCCACACTTCATGCATTTATATGGCTTTTCCCCTGTGTGGATCCTTTCATGGGAAGTAACTGTACTGCTATGAGCAAAGGTCTTTCCACATTCCATGCATTTATATGGTTTCTCTCCTGAGTGGATCATTTTGTGGCTTTTAAGTCCATTGTCATGAGCAAACATCTTCCCACATTCCATGCATTTATATGGTTTCTCCCCTGTGTGGATCCTATTATGGACAGTAAGTGTATTGCTATGAGCAAAGGTCTTTCCACACTCCATGAATTTAAATGGTTTCTCTCCTGAGTGGATCTTTTTGTGGCTTATAAGTCCATTGCCATGAGCAAACCTCTTTCCACACTCTATGCATTTATACGGCTTCTCCCCTGTGTGGATCCTTTCATGGGAAGTAAGTTGCCTGCTTGTTCTAAAACATTTTCCACATTCCAAACATTTATAAGGCTTCCCTTTTACATCAATCACTTTTTGAGATGTAAGGAACTTATTCCCAAGAGAAAAAAGGAATGTCCCATTGTAATTTTGTCCATTGTATCTTCTTATAGCATCTTCTTCTTTGTTTTGGGTTAAATGGAGTTCATTTACTTGCACTTTAGCTTTGATTAGCTTCACACTTTTTCCGGTATATTTTTTCCTTATTTTCTCTTGTTGGGCAAGAAAGTCTTGCATCGGAGCATCAGTGGAAGATGAGCTTTCCTGAGTCCAATTCTTTGACTGGTTTCTGTCATGGCTTTCAAATTTCATTTGAATTCCAAACTTCTCCATTGCATCTTTAGCATTGATCACTTGGAATAGTTCACAGGAATCTTGATTATCCTGCCCATTATTACCTTCAAATCAAAAGGGAAATGAAAATGATGACAAGGTTAGAGAAAAAGATCAAAGTATAGAAAGTCAAGTGAATTTCCTTCTGAATTTCTCCAAATTTCCATAGGTTGTATGTTTGCATGCCTACAGTGGTGTGATATAGACATGATGGTTTCTATATTCATGAATCACGAAAGCTTTGGAAATATCTGGAAAACATCTCTTTCTTTACAATTATCTATATATATGCAAATGTGACTCAGGGTCAGTTTTGAGTTAAGGAATAATCAAGGGAAACATCCAAGGAGGAATTAGGAGAAAACTTAAGATTTATTGGGGTGGGTTAATTTCAGCAGAGGCCTGTGAAAACTGAAACAATTTTGAAACAAGCTCTTTCTTCCCCAGTGTACATTGGAGTAGCTGCTCAACTGCGTCTGTCTGGCGGGCGGAACCCCCACTTGGCCTCTTCCTCAATCCCAGCTATGAGATTTGGGAGATAAATCCCTTGCTTGAAGCCTCCCATTGCCTTGTAAACGTTGTTCGTGCTGAGACTGGAAAGGTTGGGATGCTTCAAGAATGGCTATTTCGCTGCCCCAAAGTCCAATCGGCTTGCAAGGGCACTTTGGCCAGATCTGGTAAAGGCGTCGGTTCGCAGAAAATGGAGGCCTGAAGTACTTTAGTGCGAGATCACACGAGACCAGTAGTGCAAGATCTCAGGCTACTAATCTCATGTGATCTCGCACTAAAGTACTTTAGGCCTGTATTCTTTAAGAACTGAGAGGAGGAATATTATATATTAAAGAAGAAATAAGGTTGAAATTGATTTATGATAAGATGGGGAGAATATTAATTGTAGAGGTGGTTATACAGAATAAATATATTTTATTAGTTGGGATATATGCCCCCAATAAAAATCAGAATGAATTTTATAAAACCCTATATGAGCAAGTAATAGAATTGGGCAATCCTAGGATCTGTATAATTGGCGATTACAATGCAATCACTAATAATAAACAGGATTTTGCCAGTGACCAAAAATATATTAAAAAAACGGAATATATTGCCCAAAAGCTTTTTTGATATGGCCAAAGAATTAGACTTAATAGATGCATGGAGGAAGTTGAACCCAGGGGTGACTCAATTCACTTTCTATTCCAATCCACACAAATCTTGGTCAAGACTGGATATGGCATTGGTGAACAGTGATTTATTCAAGAAAATACAAAACATAGAGATACTAATTAATATCTGGGCAGATTACAACTCTTTGCAGATAATTTGGAAGGACCAAACTCATAAGAAAAGTAGGTAGACACTTAATCCACAACTACTGAAAGAAAAAGGGTATAATCAAAAAATTAGGGAAGAATTAGAGGTATTTTTTAAATATAATAAAAAACAGGATACCTCATTGCAAAATCTCTGGGACACAATGAAGGCATATTTAAGGGGAATATCAATATCTTACACGGCCAATAGAAATAAGGAAAGGTGGAAGAACCAAAATATGTTAACAAAAAGAATAAAAGATTTAGAAGATAAATTAATGAAAGCCCCGGGGGACGAACAAATTACAAATGATCTGGCACTACTTAAACACGAAATGAATATTTTAGACCAGGAAGATCTAACCAAGACTTCTACAATACATTAAAAAAAATCATTTCGAATATGCAAATAAACCCGATAGATGGTTAGAGTATAAGCAGAAAAAAGAAAACCAAAAAAGGACGATATACTAATTGGAAGGCAATAATAGAACTGTAGAGACGGATTTAGAAAAAAAGAAAATAATTGTAAGAGAATTACTTTGAGAATTTATATAATCAAGACATAATCGATTTGAACAAAATAGAAAAATATTTGAAAGAGAGAACACTACATCCACTACCGGAAGTCAAGTGGCCCTTGCCTTCCTGGATGCGCAAAAGGCCTTTGATAACCTTAATTGGGATTTTATGACACATCAGATAAATCTAATGGAATTTGGTCATAATTTTGCAAAAATGCTAAATTCAATCTACTCTAAACAGAAGGCAAGTAAATGGAGAATTTACTAATCCATTTGAGATAAGAAAAAAAGTCAGGCAGGGATGCCCACTGTCTCCTCTGCTTTTTATAGCAATATTAGAAACATTATTGGATAGAATTAGACTGAATAAAGAAATTAAAGGAACAAAGATTAAAAGACAAGAATATAAATTACAAGCATTCGCGGACGATATGGTATTTATTATAGAAGATCCAATAGATTCAGGACCAATATTATTAAGGGAAACTGACAAACTTGGGGAATTAGCAGGGTTGAAAATTAAGAAAGAAAAGACTAAAATGTTAGTCAAAAAATTAACAAATAATAGACAAAAAGACTTAGAGAAAACAATGGGACTACAAATTGTAAATAAGATTAAATATTTAGGCATATGGTTAAGATCTACAACTTTAATTCTGAAGGAAGATAACTATAATTTTTTTTTACAACAAATTGGAAGAGATCTGGAAAATTGGAGTAAAATGCAAATCTCGCTATTAGGTAGAATAGCTACGATCAAGATGAATGTTCTACCAAAACTGTTATATTTATTTCAAACGATCCCAATATTATTAGATTTTTTTAAAAAAAGATTTGGACAAAATTACTATGAAATTCATTTGGGCAGGTAAGAAATTAAGAATTAAAAGAATTCACTTACAAGATAATAAAAGCAGAGGCGGGTTTGGACTTCCTGCCTGGGAGATCTATTATAGAGCGACGTTGTTAGTATGGATAAAAGTGGCATGCCTTTTTATAGAACCCTAATAGTAAAGGTCACTCACATTTCTATAGACATACCCTGCATAAATCTTTGATTAAAATATGGGCAGTTATTAGGAGAAACCATTACACTAAAATCCCGATGTGGCTATCAACAATGGAGGCAATGTTTCATCCTAACACAATGGATATTAGCAAAAAACTTAAGTACCCCCAAATTTTAGATAAGGAAGGGAAATCGATTCAATAATTAGAAACCCAAAAAATAAGTATAGATTGTTGGTCCTATTTCCAAATAACAATGAGGTACGATTGGGATTTAAAAGAATTTGGACTAGAAACAAAAAATAACTCGATAAAATACTCTTGGGTCTAGGAAAAAAATGATATCTAAATTATACAATTATCTAATAGCATATGAATTAGCGGAGGAAATTGTGAAAGGTCCAATGATAGCATGGGCAAAAAACTTTGGCTATAATATAGAGCTAGATGACTGGGAAGAAATTTGGCAAAGAAACATTACATTAACCAAATAAATAGCCTATAAAGAAAACTTATATAAAATGATATATAGATGGCATCTGGCACTCTCTAGACTGGCAAAAATGTATCCAACCGCAAACCTGACCTGTTAGAAATGTAAGGGAAATCATGCTACTTTCTTCTATCTCTGGTGGACATCCCAGAAGTTAAAAAATTCTGGATTAGGATTAAAATATGGATAGAGGGAATCATCCAAGGTGGATTGGAATGGAAACCTGAATTGTACCTCCTGGGTATAATTAAAAGGAACTATTTCCTCAAAATAATGTACTTGATTATTCATATATTAACAGTGGCATGAATCTCACTGGCACAATACTGGAAAACGCCCAACTTACCACCTATATGTTTTATTATTCAGAAAACATATGAATGCGCCGAAATGGAGAGGCTTACATTAAGACTAAAAGGAAAGGATGATTCCGAATCCTTTTTGATTTGGGATAAATGGTATGATTGGATAGACCGTAAAAAAAATGCATAAAATAAGGGGAAATATGGAAACCTATGAAACATATTATTATACATATAGTAAAGGTTAGAAATTTATAAATAGTTTTATTCCTTTTTCTCTTTAAGTTATAGAAAAGACTTATCTATAAAATAGTTATAACCCAACAATAATAATAAACTATTATGTATCATATAGTATAGATAATAAGTTTATATGAAATAGAAAGTAACTGCCATTTAATACTCTTTATGAGATATTTAAAACACTATCAAAATGTATTAGACAAAAAAAGATGATTAGTTTTACTATAGAATCTTTATTTGTATGACTTTTTACCTTTCACTTTTGTATATTTGTATATTTTAAACTTTTGTATTCAATACAAATAAAAAAATAATTTTTTAATTAAATTTTTTTTAAAAAAAGAACTAAGGACTGCACGAGATCCAGGGCAAAAGCCTTTGAAAATGAAAATGACTTTTGCCCTGGATCTTGTGCAGGCCTTGGTTAGCAGACAACAGAGGTCTAAAGCACTGTAGTGGGAGATCACGTGAGATCAATAGTGCAAGATTCCCCACTACTGATCTCACGTGTCTCTCACTAATTTAGGCTTCTTTTTTCTGCAAATGCAACAAAGTAGGGAAAGGAACCTATGGTTCGCCAATTCGTAGCAAGGTACTGTATTTTTTCGGACTATAAGACACACCTAGGTTTAGAGAAAGAAAACAAGAAAAAAAATAGTTTTTGGCCTCTGTGCGTCCTGTGTTTGCCCTCCCTGCAGGCCAAAAACAGGCTCGTTTTTGTGCATCTGAGTGTCCCATTTTCAGTCTTTCCAATGCCAGGGAAGACACAAATGGAACCCGCAGAGGACTCCGGAGGGCAAAATGGGGGCCGTTTTTGGCCTGCCGACTGCTTCTGGATACAAGGGAGGGCAAAAACAGGAAACACGGAGGGTTTGGGAAGCCAAAAACAGGGCTATATTCATTCTATAAGACACACAGACATTTCCACCCACTTTTGTTCTGGGGTTGGGGGGAGTGCATCTTATAGTCTGAAAAATATGGTAAGTTCCAGCGAGGTGGGGTGGGGGAATAGGTAGGGCAAATGTTGCAATGCCTCTGTTGTCATTTGTAAGTGTGAACGATGGTCGTGGTGCTGCAACACTCATAATTACGGGACTGGGTCTCTACTTGGGGGAGGGCTGGTGGTAACTTGGAATAGTCGCTAAGTGAACTGTCATAACTGTATCCTAGGATGCTCAGCGTCACACTGCCTGAGGCCTTCATTCTTGAATTGGATTGGGAGAATGCTCTTCCATGGGCTGAGCATGAAAGTGCTGCTCACACACAATTTTAGAGGACAAATGACAACACACTCCTCTCACATGACCTTCAGAGGACACATAAAAAGCACACCTCATTCTTTTCAGCCTCTACAGATAAGTTCAAATGGAAATGGAAAAATACAGAAAAGAAATGGAACAGAAAGCATCTAAGCAAAGAGATATTGACTCTTTCCTTCCTTGGAGCATGACAAGGCCAGATCCTTTCCTTCTACCTCCCAGGAGATGATATCTGATCAGTGGTTTTTAAATAAAAAACTAACTAGAATCTGTCTTCTTGAATTCTCTGACTAGGTACCAGAAAACTCTTACCCAGAGAGACCACGTTCCTATGGTTTTCAAGCATGACATCCGAATGCAGCGCTTTCTGGTCAGGATCCAGCTGAGACCATTCCTCCTCAGAGAAATACACAGCCACCTCCTCAAAGGACACAAGACCGTCCTGGACATGGAAAAAAGAACACAACAGGAGGATTCGCAAGATCTGTTCAAGATCGACAGATTGGGCCCCATCTAACAAAACGAAATCAACAGTGAGACATGTAAGGTTCTACATTTACGAAAGGAAAACCAAATGCAATGGAATAGAATAGGTGATACCTGGCTCAACAGTAGTAAGCGCCACAGGGATCTTGGAGTCCTAGTGGACAACCACTTAAACATGAGTCAGCACTATACCACAGTTGCCCCAAAAAAACCCCAACAGAATTATAGGCTGCATTAAGAGGGATAGAATCAAGATGACATGAAGTGTTAGTACCACTTTATAAGACCACACTTGGAATATTGTATTCGGTTTTGTTTGCCAGATGTAAAAAAAGATCTTGAGACTCTAGAAAGAGTGCAGAGAAGAGCAACAAAAATTATTATAAACTGGAGGCTAAAATATATAAAGAACGGTTGCTGGAATTGGTTATGTCTAGTTTCATGAAATAAGGACTAGGAGAGACATGATAGCAGGGTTCCATGAAGCAATGGTTCGAAACTATTCAAGGAGAGAACCAAGCTACAAGTAAAGAGAAATTTCCTGACAGTGAAAACAATTAATCAGTGGAATGACTTGCCTCCAGAAATTGTGGGTGCTCAAACACTGGAGGTGTTTATGAAGAAATTGGACAGCCATTTATCTGAAATGTTATAGGGCTTCCTGTATGAGCAGGGGGGGTGGACTAGAAGACCTCCAAGTATGTTATTCTGTTCCATTGTTCCCAAATTCCCGAAGCAGAGATGTGCACTAAGTTAAATGGCTGTGCATCACACAAGAACTAATTTTAGGTGAGAAAACGGGCAAATCTGAAAACTGCTATCACTGGAGAAATATTTGGGGAAGTTTTATCAAATTGATTGATTCTACAAAACCTTCAGTGCCTTTCAGTAAAGTAATTTCGATACCATCGACCATGAGATTCTCCTTGGGCGGCTTCAGGGGTGGGAATCGGAGGCTTTGCGTTATCCTGGTTCACTTTGTTCCTCTGTGGCCACTCGGTCAGTGTTGATAGGAGGGAGAGAACCAGCCCTCACCCTCTGCTTTACGGAGTTCTGCAGGGCTCGGTACTCTCTCCGCTCCTGTTCAACATTTATATGAAGCCGCTGGATGAGATCATCCCACACCATGGACTGAGGTATCACCAATATGCTGATGATACTCAGCAGTATGTCTCGGGCCGTGGTTAGTTAAGTGTCCTCCATCTTGCATTGCCTGGGGCTGGATGGGGAGCCACAGGTTGAAACTAAACCCTTGCAAGACCGAGTCGCTCTGGGTTTGGGGTTTGTTGGCTCAGGTAGAATTGCCACCTTTAGTCTTGGATGGGGTGGCACTACCCCAAACAGACCCTGTGTGTAATCTAGGGGTTTTCCTGGACCCACGACTCCTGCTTGAAGAGCAGGTGGCAGTCGTGGCTAGGAGGACCTTTGCAAAACTTCGAGTTGTTTGCCAGTTACACCCTTTCCTGGACCAACAGTCCCTACTCACAGTCACTCATACCCTAGTCACTTCCCATCTTGACTACTGCAATGCCCTCTACATCTGGAGTCCCCAGTTGGTACAAAATGCAACGGCCCACATGGTTTTGTGCAGACCCCGGTTTTTAAGGGTTTTTAAAAATGGTAATGTGGCAATGTGATTTTTCATTAGCCTTGTACAATTGTGAGTCAAAGATTTACCAAAAAAAAAAAAAAGGGTCTCAAGCAGTTCCTGCCACTGTGGTATGTTTATTCCTATTTCTTCAAGGAGTTTTTAAAAACTGCTCCTTGTAAACTCCAAGATGGAGGAGTATCTAGCAGAACAAGATAACTAGAAGAAGCTATGCTGGTTGACAGTAACTTGAACCTGCTATTCTGCTCTCCATGTTGTGGAAGAACACAGAAATAATCCAGGCCAAACAAGGGGGGGAAACAGAAGGAGAGAGCCCTATGCACACCCACTTCCCTTCCTGAAAGGATAATACAAATCTAATATCTTTTCCCTTTCTTACTTGATTTGGAGGTTTAACCGCTGTTTGATCTCCATCGTAAAAACCATAAAGCTTCATTCTTTGTTTCTCTGTAAGGAATAAATAATTTCAAAATGCATAATTAACAAAATAGGGGGAGGTATTCTATAGGAGAGAAGAGAGAGCGAAGGGAAGACAGATGGGGAATTGGAGGATCTTCCATTACCTCCTGAGATATCCTGGCTTTGATCTTCCCAAGGGATCCTCCTGAAAAATAGCTCCTGAGGGGGATTAGATGGGTTCTTCTTTCCCTCAGGATCTCTGATCTCCACAGTGCAGCACTTCAAATAAGAGGAAGAAAGAAAAAAGCAGAATTAATGTACATCACAAGAAATAAAGTGGATTCTAATACTTGGAACACAACCTCAAAGCCCCCAATATCCATCCGTGTGGCTGAGTGAGAAAACAGTGGAACAATGTCCCAACAGAACTGGAGAATTGCCTCTTATTATGAACGTGGGAGAAGTTTGGGAAGGAGGGGTGAAGCATTCAAACACTCTATTTATTCCCTTCCGAGCTTCCTGAAGTCTCCCACCTGCTGCTGGAACTGCTCCTTCTGCTCCTCCGCCTGGCTCAGGAGGAAGCCTTCCACCAGGGCCACCGCCTGCGAGCTGCTGTCTGCTCCACACTCCCGCACCCAGCCCTCCATCTCTGGGGGTAGGAGAGTCAGGAGCCGCTCCAGAACCACCAGGTCCAGCATCTGGGCTTTGCTGTGTTTTCCTGGGCTCAGCCATCGCCTGCACAAATCATAGAGTCGGCTGCAAAGTCCTCGGGGACCCTCAGCCTCCCGATATTGGATGGAGCTCCAGGGCGGAACTTCTGAAGGGAGGATGATTCCCTCCTGCAGGACCTTCTGTCCGGTTCTGGTCCAGCTCTCCCCACAGTTCCCAGGCTGAAGAGCCGCGGGGCCTCTTCTGCTCCCCTCCTTAGGCAAAGGGGGTGTCTCCATCCTTCGTCTCTCTGGCAGAGCAACTCCAAAGTGCCCCAGGGGCCTCTTCCTTTATGGGACCATTTTTTGGGTCGCAGTACAAATCCCTGCCAGTCCTTCTGCTCCCTCCCTCCTTTCCCCCACAGAGGAAATCCTGGCCTGCAAAGGCTGCCGAGGGCTCCGAGGTTCCGGATCTGGGAGGGAGAGAAAAAACGACGCCCAGGATCAGAAAGGGGGATTCAGGCCCTGCACCCCCTTCCCCCAATCTGCCCGCAGCCTCAAGCGGCTCCTCCCAGCATTGCGCCCCCCCGAGCAGGGCCGGGAAGGAGGCAGCTGCAGAGGCCGCCCCTTCCGTTTCTCTCCCCCTCCGGAGACAGGAGACAGGGGAGCCCGATGCGAATCCTGCCTCCTCCTTCTCCTCGCCCGGCTTCTCTCCTCTCCTGCTGGGCCTCCGCCAGCCCCCCTCCCCCCCTTCGCATGCAGAGGGCGGCTGGGGAGTATGGGACCCGGGAAGAGCCCCCCACCCACCTGGGGCACGTCTGGATGTCCCCCCGCCACTCTCCCGCAGCCTCTTTTCCTTCGGCGCTCCAGGGGTTGAGAAGAGCGAGTGCGGTGTCCTAGACAGGAAACGCACAGTGATGTCACTTCCTTCGCCGCCGCCTCTAGGAAGGCCGCCGTGACGTTCGCCCTCCAGTGGCCCAATGGGGAAGCGCCTTGGAGTTCCCTTACCTTGGCGGAGGGCGCCCCCTGGTGGACTTGGGGCAAAGGGCCAGGAGGGTAGAAAGGGCGGGAAAGAGGAGGGCATGGGAGGGGGCGGGGATGATGGCCTTGGGAGTAGCAGGAAAGGCTCCTCTCCGTGGCTCCCTGTCAAGGACTCGAGAGGCGGCTCTTTCTTCGCCTTCCTGTCTTTCCTGCCCAGTAACTGTCGGTGGAGACGGAGGGAAAAAGCCTGGGGCGGAGGGAGGAATCAGGACTCGCCTCCCGAGGGCTGCGGAGATCCGAGGAGGCCTCGAAAGGCTGTGGAGTCCCCTCAGAAAAGGCCGGGCGGTGGGAAGACGAGGACCGGGAGCCTCGCTTGGACGCCCAGCTCGTGTCTGGCGGGGGAGGCGGAAGGCGGGCGGGCGGGCAGGGACAGGGGTGAAGCGGGAATCTCTGACAGAGAATCGTGAAGAGAGCAGAGAAAGTGGAGGGTCCCTTCTGGGGCTGCCATGTACTCCCCCCCCCCTTTGAGCTGAAGCCCGCCAAAACTGAAGGGATCCTCCCTCCTCCTTCAGGTTAAGTCACGAAGGACTCTGCCCGGAGACCGGTGACGCTCACGCAGGGAGAATTCCCATTGGTTCTGGCCCTCCCATATCAAAAGTTCGAGAAAAAGGCTCCCCCCCCCCCC